CCCACTTTTGAACTCAAAAGTTCATGGTCAGAGAATTGGAGATAGAGATGAAAAAGATGGTCGCACATAAAGCAAAGTGGGTGTCTATTTTCGCCAAATTGAAAATATTAATTCGACGAAGGGTATTTTCATCAAATAAACACCTTACTCGATTTAACGGAGAAGGAGTTCTTTGTCTCAAAACAAAGTACAGAGGTTTTTGGCACAGACCCATAGTACGGAGGGGTTCTCCACTTAATTAGCAATCGAACCTATCTATTGCACTAAGGCTTGGTTCAAAACTTGATTTGAATCAATCTTTTGATGAGTCGAATTTGAATGCCTTACAAATAGTTTGATTCATGTCCACAACATGCCATGTTAAAAAAAATGAAATAAAAAAAAGAAAAAGAAAACAACCATGCCACATGCAACTTTAAATGAGGGTATTTTTCATTACAAATCAACCATTCTATCAACATAAAGCCATTTTACTATTACAACTTTAAATGAGGGTATATTTTTTAAATTGAAGCCCCAAATTATTATGTATAATGATAGATGTCAAGTATTATTATTATACATTTCTAGTTTAAAAAAGAATATTATATTATAGTTACTTTTATTATCATACTACCGTACCAGTCAACTACCACGTGAAATGCACCTACACAATTACCAGTATAGATATTGATGTCTTAAAACTCCCCTTTCACCGTATTTATATCATACTGCTTTAAGTCACCTTTAGGCTTTAGTGAACCATGAAGGAAATGGCCCACTGTCTCATTATTAACTTTTAGAAGGCAAAATTTTTTTTAAAAAAAGGGGGGAAGTAACAATTTTTATAGGACTAAAATGCACCTAGTGTATTAACTTCCTTTTATCTCTTGTATATTCATTCCACTCTATACCATGGTTTTTAAAACCGGAAAATTGGAAATTGGAAATTGATCAGGTTCCGTTTTACCCCAGAACCGTTATTTCCTTAAAAACTTTTGATTTAGTCAATAAACCGTTGATCTGGGCGGTTGAACTGTCCAATGGTTTTGGTCGTTTTTTTATTTTTAAATTTTTTTTTTGTTAGTACAAGCCGTCCATTCAATAAAAATGATCAGACCGTTCGACTCGAAAACTGGACCCCTGACCGATTCGTTGCCCGGTTCTGTTTTAAAAACCTTGCTCTATACGTTAAAAACATTTTAATTGATACAAGTGTGTTAAATATACACCAAGACCGTCCATTAGTGAGGCCCGTAGGGTATGCAGTTGTGCACATCCCCCTTATTAGACAGGCTGTGTTTGGCTTGAAGGAAAAATGTAGAAAAAGCAAGGGAATGGTATAAAAACCCATACAAGGTTTGTATAGGTTTTTCTACTTTTTCTTTCTTTCCTACCTTTTCCTTCAAACCAAATATAGTGCCTTGATGGAGCTTAAATCCATGCTTAAGTGTATATAAGTACCCGTTTGGGAGGGCCAAATCTAGGGCTGTTAATGGATCGTGTATGGGTTGGGATAGAACGTTTCTAGAATCAATTATTAATTGGGGTACAAAAGCATAGATCCAACACTGTCTCTTGGGATAATTGATCACGTGTGACAGATATAATTATATTGTATACTTAATTATAATTATTTATATAAATAATAAAATAACATTAATTTTTCATAAATAACCTTAATAAAAATAGTGATAGAATAATAAATTATTTATATGTTAAAAGACAAATGTTTTAACTAAAATTATCTGATATTACTATCAAGTTTAGCCTTTTAGATATAAAATTTAATAAAAATTATAAAAAAACTAAGGGACCTTTATATAATATTAACAAAGTAATTAGTTTGGATCTAAATTAGTTCGGAACAAGAAAGAACCAAAACCAACTTAGTCATTAATTAAGACCAAATCTCATAAGTCAATTGATCATGTAGAACATGTAGAATTGACCCATTGACAACCCTAGCTAAAGCACAACAACAACTGATTTATGTTTGGTGAAAAATCTAGAGAGCCCAAATTGGTTGCCAGTCAATCATTTGAAAGGTTGCCACTTCAACCCATGGTTTTCAAAATCAGACTGGACCGGATGGTCAGACTGGAAAAATCGGGAATCGATCACCTGACCGGTTTTGTTTCCCTCAAAACCGTTGATTTTGGTTAGCAAACCACTGAACCGGCTAGTTTACCGTTCGAATGGTTTTGACCGTTTTTCAATTACTTTATTTTATTTTTGTTAGAAAGGGCCGACCGTTCAAGTCGACCCGAAAACCGGACCCCTGACCGGTTCAGTCACCAGGTCGGTTTTAAAGACCATGCTTCAACCTCTTCGAATAGCTTACCCCATAGCACTTTAAAGCAATTGAATCAACTTAACTGAATCTTAGTTTAGTCATCCCAAATGGGCCATAAGGCCTAAGCCACTTTCACAAGCTCACATCATTACACCCAATTCAATTTTAGATGATGGTGATGATGATGATAGTAATAATGTCTCTATTTTTTAAGATTTTTTTACATTCCTATGCATATAAAAATAATTCTTATTTACTACCTGTACTTTGTTTGATATGATGATTATATAATATTATAATTTTTTTTTGCTATTTAATTTATGACATCAAGGATTGATATGTTTGACCTAAAAAGTTGAACTATTGGCCCACAACCAGATAGGTAAACAATTTGATTTCCGATAAATTTTAAATTTTGTATTTCATTTTTATCATGAATAAAATATAATTTTTGGTTATTATGCTTATTTTTCTTTAAGATTATTAACATAACATGTTAGAAATGTACCTAGAATTTTCTATATTTTTTTTGTATTTATTTTTATTTTAAAAATATTATTATTTAACTATGACATCATGGGTTGAACCATTTGACGTAGATGGTTGAATTGATTACCCACCACATTGATGGAAGAATAATTTTATTTTTGGGTCAGTTTTAATGAACATGGATTTTATATTGTCAAGAGTAATGGAGATAGATACAATTAGTAAAATTGTATCCAAATAGGAAAACAATTCCATTTGTGGGTTGGTTTAAATTTTGTATTTTATTTCTATCATCAATAAAATAATTATTCTTTATCACACTTAGGCCCCGTTTGGTTCGTGGGAATAGGGATTTGGAATCGGAATAGCAACTCTTTGGTTGGGCGGAATCGAAATCCCATTCCCATTCCTGCTGGAATGGCATTCTCCCATTTGAGGGAATGGCCATTCCCTACCCCTCCCTTGGGTATGAAATCCCATTCATGCTGATTTTAATTTTCATTCCCATTCCCGTCTAAACCAAACAGATTATGGGAATGGACCATTCCAATTTCAATTCCGGAGGAATTCGTTTTCGATTCCGATTCCGACTGCAAACCAAACATACCCTTATTTTTATTTAATATGGTCAATTAATACAGGATTCAATGTAAAAATGAAGTTAATACTTTAAAATAAGATTTAATGAGAGGAAATTGATTGGGTAGAAATGTGGTAGTTCAAATTACATTTTGTGCCCTCACAATTAGAGTGACTAAATTCAAAGATAAAGGCATTTTAGCCACGAATAGGATTTAGTTAATGCTAATGGAAGTTAATAATTAAATTAAATATAATACTTAATAAGAAGGATTTGAATGAAGAGAAAAATAGTTGTTCAAATTACATTTATATCCTTATAATTAAAGAGGGAATAAATTAAAAAATTGGGTATTTTAGTCAAACAAAAATTCAACACTCTTATTCACACTTTTAATAGTAGTATAATATATATATATATATATATATTAATTGTACTATTGTTGTTGTCGTTGTACTATAATAATAATAATAATAATAATAATAACTATTATTATTATTATTATAAATGTTATTATTATTGTCCAATATTCATTATTTTGTTCAAATTATTATTCAATGGTACCAACATCCAAATGTACCAAATATTTCATCCTAAAGGATAAAGCTGTAAAATACGGGATTTTTCATAAGTTACAAATCACCAAACAACTTCCTTGCATTCAGAGATATATAGGGGCAGAAAAGCAAATTCTCCAAGATTTGAGCTTAATTACAGCTTTTGTAGAGATTTTTTTCTTTAACTTTCCAGATATCAAAGCTCAAATTTATTGAATGCCAACAAGACTGGATATACCAAAAATTGTTACACATCTTGTTGCAAGTATATACATACTATTCCAGCTTGCCATTTCTACCATTTTTTTGGGGTTATTATCTAGAACTCTCCTTTCACTTCTTTTTTTTCCATTTCTTTTAAATTTACATTGAAATTTTAAAACCTTCAAAGACCCATGGAAGAATTTTTGTTATGTTACCATAATCTACTATTAGTCTATTAACAGAGGTTGTCAGTTAATTACTTTTAGGCTCAGTTTGAAAATAAGACAAATGCAAATACATACAAAATAATACAAAATATAAGGTTTTGCACTCCCTCTATTTGCATTTGTATTCCTTACAAATTGAGCCTTAATGACCAAACCAACATTGATACTCTATTAAATAATTGTTTAAAAAAACATAAAAGAAAAAAGAAAAAAAATATTTTTCCTTTTATCCTTCTCCAACCAAAGGTCCCAAGTCCATTTGGATGAAAAAATAACCCATAAATCTCAGATAGGGGATAGTATAATAAATTTCATTGTACATTTTGTGCAACCTCAAAGGGGAGGATAATATAGTAAAGTTACAAAAATAGTTCATCTCCTAAGCAATAAGCATAAACCTCTAAGAGAGGGGGGTCTCTGAAGATTTTGAAAGTTTAAGAGAAATGGGCAAAAGTGAAAGATGAATTTAGAAGACGACCCTTCTTCTTTTATTTGATTTTCCTTTTTATTTATTTAAAATTTTTGCCGCTAAAATATAATGTCATTATATGACGTGGCAAGGTTGAAAGCCGCCAAATAATTATTAATTAATTTAACGCTTAACCCAAAAATAACTTTCCGTTATAAAAGAAGGAATAGATCCTTCGACCGGTTTAGAACAAAACTCCAGTCTCCAGATCTGCTGCTCGCGAGTCACAGACCGGCGTGTTCACTCGTGATTGGATACTTAGCCCGTTATACACACTGCTGTGAGCAGCAGATCCTGACGCGRAGAACAGAGACACGAGGTCCCTATTGAACTCAATCTTTTTTCTCCCTTGTTGTTACTTTAACAGAACGAAAAGTGAATGTAGTAGGGCAGGTTTCGCGGTTTCGGAATCAGTGGCGATCTGAAGCCGAGATTACGTTTTTCTTGTTGCATGCTAAGAGCGACCTTCTCCTTTTGATTATCCGCCATGGACGAATCTTTCACCAGCCTTCCTTCCAGTCACTTGCTAGGTTCAGTTCCTGTAAGTATTTCCATCTCTCCTTCTCATCTGTATTTTCTCACAAAGTTGCCCTGGGTTTTAGGTTTGTATCGGTTAACCATCAACATATAATTTTCTTGATATTCAATGTCGAGAGCAATGGGATTTCCTCGGTTTCAACCGATGAATCCATCTTTCTCTTGGCGCTTATTGATGCTTGGCTATTTGATATTTCCATGTAACCACTAACCAGTTATATCCTTCTTAATTTATATTATGGATTTTCTTTTTTAATGCATTAAGGGGTTGCATATTTATCCACATTGTAAAATCGATATAGTAAGTTCAGTTTCCATTTCAGCTATTCCTATATTAAATTCTCGGTACATCGAATTGAATTACAAAAGGAAAATGTAATTTCGTTAATTGGTTACTTGGGCGTTTTGGAAGAGCGACTAAAGCTAAATTTCGAGACTAGTTTAGCATCTGATGAGTCCTTAAAGAAAGCTTTAAGTCAACTTAATTTTCCATCATGTAAAAAAAAATCTAATTTTGGAAATTTCTTGTATTTTCTTGGTGAAGAAATACCTGGAAATGGCCCAGTCAATAATTGCTATGTATGTTTACAGCACTTGTTGGATATTATAAATCAGATTAAATACTCAACTCAACAAAGGCTTGTCCTAATTATATGGGGTCGGCTTCAAAACAGATTAAATTTTGCTCTTAAAATGCAATGCAACTGGAAGCTGTAATCAGTATATCTACGAACTGACATGCATAGTGTAAGATTGTTGATGAAGTAAAAGGTCTTCTAGCATTTTTGCAGGGAAAGATATGTAGCTTAAACGACAATTAATTAGCATTAGCTTTTGCACTAAGCTATTTGATGTTCCTTTGCTGCAGTGCCTGATAAAATTATTTGTTGTTTCTTGAATCATAGTTGTTAATGAGCCTAGGCAATTCTATGCAGCAATGGGGTGCCTACTCACCTAGTTGCCTAGGCAATGCCTAAGCGATGAGAAACCAAAATATCTAGGACAATATTATTTCAATTATATTAATTTCAGTACTTTCAAAAATGATATTAACATAGCTGTCAAGGCGATACATAGGCAACAAGGCACCCTTGGAGGCTCAGCTCACCTAATCGCCAAGACTTTTTTTTTTTTTTTTTTTAAATATCAGCCAAGCCGTTTCGTACATTGTGTTATAAAATACTTTTATATTCTTAATTTTTTCAGATTATAATTATAAAATAGACATTATTAAACTAAAATATTCATTTTGTGTGTTTATATACTAATTTATTTTTATTATTTTCTTACTTGTNNNTTTTTTTTTTTTTTTTGATAAATAACCGCCAAGCCGTTTCGTACATTGTGTTATAAAATACTTTTATATTCTTAATTTTTTCAGATTATAATTATAAAATAGACATTATTAAACTAAAATATTCATTTTGTGTGTTTATATACTAATTTATTTTTATTATTTTCTTACTTGTTAGGGTTTAATCAACACATACATTGCTAAGTGCTGTATTGAACCCTAAAAGACTTCAAAACCTGAACCAATAAGTAAGGAAGAACTTAAAATTTCGTCTAATCAGCACATTTTCTTCTTCTTCTTCTTCTTCTTCTTCTTCTTCTCCTCCTCCTCCCTTATTTTATTTTCTTCTTTTCCTATAACAAAAATAGGGGTTCAGCCCCTATATATTTTTTCAACTTTCTTTTCTTTATTCTTTTTTTTTTCTCATGAATATGATGATTTTCTCTACTTTAACCTGTAGTTTATACTTTTCTTATGAAAATTATGGATGATTATTAAGGAAATATGGTTATAAAATTCTTTGAGTTGTTGATAAAAAAAAGGGTTACGGAGCCTAGGGAACTACCCTAGGATATGTGCTTTTTACTTGAAAAAATCCATCGCCTAGCTCGCCTTGGCACCTTGAAAACTATGGACATTAATATAACCAATATTAGTAAAGGATATGTACATTGCCTTATTGGGAGAACGGTTTTGGAGATTTAGGGACAAGCAAAGGGGCCTATGGAGGAGGGTGGTTCAGGCAAAATATGGCGTTAGATATTTGTGTTGGGACCCAGGTCCACCAAACCAATCTTTTTTTTTCCTATCAGCATCCACCAAACCAATCTTACGGCTGCTCAGTGTGGAAACTGGAAAGGAATTGAAAAGGCTCATGCTCAGTTTTTAAAAGGAGTAAGGTTTAAGATAGGGGATGAATCTTGGGTAAGATTTTGGAAGGATGTTTGGTGTAGAGACAAATCTCTGGCCGAAGCCTTCTCTGCTTTGCTTGATTTTCCTGTCGACAAAGAAGCTAGAGTAATGGATTATTTACAGAGGAAAGAAGGAGAGGTGGTGTGGTTACCCCCGTTTAGAAGAAATCTAAATGAGTGGAGCTGGATGCCATGACGGAAATGCTTCACTTGCTGTATAGTACTCAAGAAAAGATGGGTGAAGAGTATGGCRGTGGGAAGGGTCAGGAAAGTTTCATATGAAATCTTTCTACAAAGCACTCTTGGGTTCTGAGGAGCAGGTAGTCCCAGTTAACATCATTTGGTATAAGAATGTTCCCACAAAGGTAGCTTTCTTTTCTTCTTCTTTTTTTTTTCCTGGTGAGAAGAGGGTTGATATTGGATTTAGTTGACTGTGTACTGTGTGTGAAGGGCATCTGGAATTGGTAGACCATCTACTGCTGCATTGCAAGTTTTCTTATGAATTTGGTCTATGTTTTGGAACCTGTTTAGTGGAATTCTTAAAAAGTTGGAGGGTAGAAGGGCTGTCCAGAAAGGGAAGGCTGGTTTGGAATCTGGTCCCAGCTGTGGTTTTTTGGTTTTTGTGGCAGGAAAGGAAAGCTAGGATTTTTAAGGGTAAAAGCAGCTCCACTGACTCTTTAGTTCAGAAGGATTTTGGAAAGTTGTTTTCATGGCATTGATAAAAAAAAGTTGTTTTCATGGCTAGCTATTCATAAGCTGTTTATGAAAACAAAATATGATTCCTTTTTTGTACATGGGAATCTTTTTTTTTTTTTTTTTTTTTAAATCAGGGTTTGGGATCGTAATGCTGTATGGTTAGCTTTTGTAAGTCCTGGGTACAGAAACTTGTTGTACATGTCTTGTTTTTTGTTTTCATCTAATACCATACTTCACTTTCTTTCAGAAAAAAAAAAGAACAAATATTTAATAAAGCAATTTCACATCAAATTAGCAGCTAAAGAAGGTTATAGTTTTATATGATAAGATATAGAGAGTAAGTAAAAGAGAAAAAGAACAAGAGTGGAGCTGTGGTTTACAGAGGGAGGAAAGGAACGCTCAAATATTTGAGGACAATAAGAGAAGCAAGGAGGCAATAATAGAAAATATTATAGTGAGGGTGGCACATTGGTTGAAGACTATGGATATATTTTCAGACTATACAATGGATGAAATTATTAGAAGTTGGGGGCCCAGTGGCAGGATCATCATATAAAAAGCTGGATGTGATAAGAAACTGGTTCTCACCAGAGAGGGGTTTCTTGAAGTTGAATTTTGGGGCAGAACTGATGATAGTAGTTTTGGGGGTCCATAAAGCAATGAAATTGGGAGTGGAAAGACTTGTAATTGGAGGAGACTCAAAAATTTGTGATAAGTAGGTTGAAGGATGGTAGCAAATTTTGGATCTATAGTAATGAGATCAAAAGATTCAGATAGCTTCAAGGAACAGATGGCTAACAATACAATTGGTTAATAGATCAGTTAATGATTTGGCTGATTTTCTTGCTAAACAAGGGGCAACTAGGAGCTAGCATTTCTGGGCTCAATTGTAAAGTAAAGGATGTTTAGAATGTTTGATTGGGGCATGGTTGTAAATTTCTGTGGGGGAGGGAATGCCTGATTGCTTTCAGACCTGTTGTAATGATTTATATTTCTGTTTAGATTAATAATATTAATGTTTCTTTGTTGCTGATAAAAATATAAAAAAAGTGTTGCTATCATTTCTGTAAACCATGTAATTTTATTTATGGATTATACTGATTCTATCTAGTTGGTGAGCTGTAATATGTACACATTCCTTTTTATATTTTTATTGTTTTCCCCTTTCTGTTCTTATTTTTCCTTGTGCGCAGGCTGTAGTCAGTGAAGAGAAAAAGCCAACCAACCACGAGGGTACTAGATTAAAACCTCTAATTGTTTTTACCTTTTGGAATAGTTTGTTCTTTCTTTTTTCCCCTCTCTTTTGTACTGTGCTTGAATCACACAGTTTATGCTACCTTTTTGTTTTTCTTTTTCAACTGTTATGTAGTTCCTGAAGCAAAGTTGCAAATATTTCCTCCTGCCAACAGAGCTGATAGAGGGCATGGGTATCAAGCTCTAGATGATAGCCCAAATGGTATGCCACTAGCAAATAGTATCCTATTGTTTACTTATTTCCATTATTTTGGAAGCTTAATAAAAAATCATAGGTTAAGCTAATCTTATCTCAGATACAGGTGTATTGGAATAAGACAATAATGGTTAAGTTAATTTTATCTCAGATACAGGTGCATTAGAACAATACAATAATAAAAATTTAGAGTTTAATGTGCCAATAGTAAAGTTCTTCTGCAACTTTTCCTGAAACAAAACCTTACCAAGTCCGCTACTGATTGATCATTATTTTGATTAAGTTAGCCTAAATTTTTTCTTTGCCATCTGCAATCCAACATTTACAAGCTGTGAAGAGAAACTTGCCATCTGTGGATATTGCATGAGCAACATTTTTGAATCACTGAATCCATATCTACTTCTGCTATCATGGACTTTGGGTATATTTTGAGCATTTACAACAATATTTAATTTAGGGGATAAATCAAACAGCTGATATATATCATCTGCAGGCCCTGCAGTAGACGTAGGGAAAGCTTAGCCTATGTATCCCAGTATACTAGGAGAGACAGTTCATTTACTTAGTTGTTTAATGTTTTAAATAATCAACGCCCATCCTTTTTGAGTATCTCTACCACTTGCACGCACCTTATACATTTAAGTAGACTGAGCTTTATTGATAATAAAAAAAAAAGTAGACTAAGCTTTAAACATGGTGCTTGTAACTTTGTGACTGTGCTGCAAGTGTAAATCTCTTATGTTTTTGTTTTTTACCGTTTGATGTAGGAAAATAAAGTTCATGGATTTCATACATTGTGAAGAAATATGTTACTTTATGACTGTGCACAAGTGTGACATCTTATGTATTTATTACTTGTTGATGTTGGAATATATTATCATAGAATTCATAGCTTATTGAAAGAAGAGGGATTTCTTGCTTATAAGACATTGTATCCATTTATTAGGACCACAACTATAAACTAAGAGAGATTACTTGATTGCCAATAGTGGGTTGACATTATCTACTTGGAGCCTGGCATGGTGCACAATGGTGTACAAAGTGTCCAATCAATATTTATTCTCCATGAGTTCCCATTCCATTGCACTACTTCTGCTTTCAGTTCTTCATTCTTGATTTTGGTGTTAGTTATGGAGTGTACCAATTATGTATCAAACAAACCCAAGATTGTGTATTGAGATGTGATTTGGACAAGTTACAGTTAATAGAATGTCAGGTCTGACCCCTTCTCAAAGGTCAAGGATCAGTTGGTAAGACTTGTAATGGGAAAATAACACTCTGCTCTTATTGTACTTGGCTGTTCCATTACCTTTACAAAATTGGACTGATTTCAGAGCTAGCTTCCTTATCTGCATCTAAAATCTCTTGGGATTTCCACTTTAGAAGAGGCATCTGTGATCATGAGAGTGAAGAGGTGATATATGAGTCTTATCAACTCCCTAAAAGATGTTTTTCATTAGTCTGCCGGCAGGGATGGTAGAGTTTGGTTGCTTCACTCATTCTTCTTTCTTTAAGACCTTGGATCCAAATTCTCGTCTCCATGCTTTTCTTGTTAAATCCCTGTGACTACCTCTTCTAAAATCAATGTTTTTTTTTTCAATGATAAAGTGAAACTTTTATTAATAATAATAAAAAAATAACTACAAATCAAGGTGAAGTGACTTCACCCTAAGAACCACTGTTTACATACAAAGGAGAAGAAAAACACCAAAACTAAACATCTTAAACAAATAATCTAAAGGGGATAAAAGTTGGTTCCAGAAGATGATCTAACCATATCTTTAAAATCAGGATTCCCCATTGGCCAATTCAATAACAACAAACAAATATTAGCCACAAGTATTCTATTGTTTCTTTGTTTCCCATTAAAAAATGTTTTCTATTTTTGTCCCTGCAAAAATCCCCAACAAATTGCAAACGGAATAATACTCAATACGATTTTAACTCTTATGACCATAAAAGTGAGGTCATGATGAAAACATCTTGTTTTGATAGGCATGCCTAGGTGCATAGGCAAGGCATAACGCATGCTTTACTACATAGGCAAAGTATATTTTAAGCATGCACCTTGCCTGAACCTAGGCACATAGCTTTTCAAAAGGTCTGCATGTGCCTTTTTTTTGAACATGTCTCTTTTATTATTTTTTTTTTGTAGATTACTTTATTGGTATTATTTTTTTTGGTAAATTCTTATGTGCTTTACACATTTGTAATGGCTTATCACTTTTTAAATCCTATTTTTGTTGTTTGTAAATCAATAATGGTCTATCAACTTCTAAAATAAGCATAAACAAAGACCCTTCAAATACTTTAAGCCTTAGTTCTAGCAAGTAGGATCTCAAATAGCAGAATTTCCATTAAAGAAGCAACAAAAATCCAACTAATATCTAATCCCTAATCCTATAATAGAATGAACCATGACTAAAATATAAAACCAACCCCTTCTTAGGACTAGGAATACAAGATGGTTAACATCACACTAGCTACATAAAGAGGCCTTTATGAGGTGAAGAACTGATCTCTTAGGACTAGGAATACAAGATGGTTAACATTACACTGGCTACATGAAGTAATGCAACTAGGACATAAATAAACAAATTGAAAGTTTTGCATGCTTGAATTGTTCAGTGCTTGATGCAGATTGGTGCAATCCACATGTTGCTTCACTTCTGCGTTATTACATTGAATATGTTTTTATGTAATGGTTATGTAGTTCAATTTGAACAAATAGGAGTAAATCATAGGTTCTGATCTTTCTCTCTCTTTTTCTCTTCTCTTTCAATGGGACCATAAAAAATCTTCAAGAAAACCCATCATTCATTATCAAATAAGAGACTGAATTCATCCTTAATAAATCTCCTTTCAATTTCCATCAATTTTCAATCTTCACACCCTTCTCTCAAGAGAGGAACTCCTCTCTTTACATTGTCCTATCAAACTTTGGTGAAAACCATGTTTGGTTCAACCATCCCCCATAATCAAGGTCCCTCTTAATCTTATTAAAACAGCTTTAAAAAATTCCCCTAAAACCCCCTAGTTTCTAAAAGATGGGATTGATCTATTGCGGTTCCTTGAATCTTTGCAGTCTGGGCACCTACATTATGGTCCCCTTAATTTGTCTTTCATATCCTGATTCCTTGACGATCTTTTACTGCAGTTATTGTTTTCTTCATGTTCATTATCTTTGCATTTTTTTCTTTCTTTGCCAGCATCTTCACAAAAGTATAGATAGTCTAACTATGATATGACAAGGGACATGCATTTGCAATTTATTGCAGTCACTGATTGGTCCAATATATTTTCCATAATTCTTCCGTATTCATAATGACCTTTATGTCTGCATAGGTGGAGATGAACAACCAGCAACAAACAATTGGAAGGGAGTGCTTAGCATCTCGTCATACAAGCAATATTTTAATGTGGATACTGATATTGTTGTTGATAGAATTATCAGTTCATTGAATCCCACCAGTGGAAATTTTTTTGACAAGATTGAGACTAATCCTGATCTGTGAGTACTGAATTTCCTTATCCAAGACTATATTGAAAGAAATAGATATTATTGTTATTTGGTTAAACTTGTTTAAATTTCAAATGCATAAAAATTTCCTTGGAGAGATAAGTCTTTATGGTATTATCTTAGTTCTACACCAAATTATGACCTTACTGAAGGAGGCTATTTGCATTTTGATTTTTAGCTGATGAGCTGATCTAGACCAAATAGGGAGTACATAAGAAATTAAAGCATAGACACCACATTACCAGTCAAAGAAAGATAAAATATTTTGCTGATTAATAAATGCCAAATCTGGCTACTTATGGAAAAGCTGGAAGTTTCTAGAGAAAAAGAAACGTGTTGTGTTACATAATTAAAAAAAAAGATGTTGGTAAACTGTAAGGAAGAAATGTGGATGTCCCTTGCTTGTCTTATTGTTGTTCCCCTGCAAAGTTTGCAAATTCAATTACGAGATAACTTTTAATCTTAAAAACTGGGAAACTTTGAAAGGATCCAGTTTCAGGGAAACACTAGGGAAGATGGAATTTTTATTGGAACTTCAAAAATGTGACTTCCTCTATCCCATAAAGACTGTCCTCTTTGTAAAGAATTACAATTTAAAAAGAGAACTATTAATTCATTGACTACTCATTTATCCATATTGGCTTTTCAATAGTGCCTTCCCATTCTTTGGCCTTAAAATGTAGGGGAAAAAGGTCCCTAAATCTTTGGTATGGGCTAACGTGGAAAACTGATAAAATTCAGTTTATTTATTTCTGCAATAGACAAATTATAGGACAATGAAAACCCAAAAATAGAAATTGTTGAGGAATGGAAGGTGTATATCAGCTTTGCTAGTCGGTGGTATGGCTAATAATCTTTTGGTATAAAAACTACAAGTAGGAAGATTTGAACCTTGGTCATTAGGTTGAAAGGCAACAAATCCACCACTACACCATGCTCCAATTACTTGTCATAGTTACATGAATTTTGAATCTTAAATTCTCATCTTAGTGGATGTTTGTCAATAAATACTAAAATTTGATTAGTAAATTTTATATATTTATAAATATTAAAATAAATTATATTGATTTTCTGAGAATTAAGATATACTCATCTACATGCATATTTTTGTTCTTCCATCTTTTTTTAGCATTTACCAAATGTCCTAATAGTTCACACTCCATATAAAGTCTATAAACCATTGAAGTATGTGTTTTTTATGTGTATATGACTTATTTATAGTCATTTAAAACTTGTATTTAGTGTTAGATATTTATTTGAGTTTCCCAATGTATATATCTGTATCTTAATTTTTTTCCACCATATCCCTGCATATCCAAAGCGTATTATGATGTCTTTGAAAAGCCTTTCTGATACTATGTGGTTTTGATACTTTGAACTTTGTTTATTTTATAATCCAACTTTTCATTAGTGGAGTGAAAGTATCTCCGGAGCAAAGTTTAGGTCATTGCTTATTTGCTTAGGTAGTGAACCCAAAGCGTTAGCATAGGGATGAGTAGGCAACGCCAAGTAACAACATGGATGATCAAGGTGGTCATGGTTGTTACAAGTTAAATCATACATTGTTTGTTATTGGTAATTAAATCATATAATGTTAATGTAATATTTAGTTTTATCAAGTTGTTATATTCACATCCCACCACATGGGAGGGGGGGCATTGCAACCGGGGGGGGGGGGGTCCAAGGTCAGCAAATAGTCTGACAAGCTTACAGATGCTCATAGTAAATGAGGAGTAACAAGCAAAGATCCAGCTTGGGGAGCATCATCCCTTGCGTTTAGTTTGTAAAACTGTATTCTGTTCTGTAGACATGCCAACCTGATGTTAAATTGGTTGCCTTCATTCCAAACCTTTGGAATGATGCCTTACTTTTACTTATGCAATATTAATAAGAAAATTTGATTAATGTTGCTGACCAACAAAAATGTTACAATATTCTTGGTCATTATTAATGATTGAAAATAACAAGAATGTAAGAAGGGATTCAAAGTTAGTGTCCAGAAGAAAGGGAAGAAAGGAAAAATGACTGGACCAGAAGGAAGTGGCTAGGAGAAAAAAAAAACAGCCTCAAAGAGGGCCATAGAGCTATAGTATATTTTTTATCAGTAAAGTAGAATTTATTCATTAATTAAAAAAGCATATTATAGTTACTTTAATACTCTGCTTCCAGAGTACATCTCTTTATAAAAAAACTCCCATATTACAGAGGTAAACACCCCTCTGTTTTGATACAGCCAGTTACAGTTTTGCCCAAAATAAAGTAGGTCTATCAACTCCTTGTTTTGCTAGAGTATCTGCCATTCCATTTGCTGTCCTTTTAACCAACCCAAATGTAGCGTTAAGACTCTTAGCAAGAATGTCGATCTCCCTAAATACATGTCTATATTTCCATGATGTTGCTTTTGCTTGCTTAGCCCAAGAGATGACCAAAAGTGAGTCCCCTTCCACTTCCAATTCTCTTGCTTCTAATTGTTCTGCTAATTTCAGGCCTTGTTAGAGTGCCATTGTCTCTGCCTGAACTGAGTCTCCGAACCCAATTGGTCCTGAGAATAAAGCCACAACATCTCCATGATGATTTCTGAAAACTCCCCCTATTCCTGCCCTTCCAGGGTTTCCTAGGGAGCTTCCATCAAAATTCAGCTTGAATCTATTTGGCTCTAGTGGTTTCCAATCCAACTTCATAATTTCTTTATGTGTTTCCATTTGTGCCACTTGCTTCCATTTCCTTTGAAATGTCTTTGAAGGTATCAACAGTTTTTACCCAGTGGACAGATCTGATTTTTATTGTTTCAATTACTTCCTCTCCAAATCTGCTCTTCTCATTGAAAATCCTCTGATTCCTTTCTTCCCAAATGGTCCCAATTATAGCTGCCCTTGTTGCCTTCCATAAGCATTCTGCCCTTTCTTGTGTTGCTGCAGAAACTTAGAGCTGAATAAGCTAACTACATCTTGTGGCTGGTCCCATCTGCAATCAAAGAGTGAGAAAAAGTAATCCCAAATGCAAGACACAAAAGAGCAGGAAATCGGTAAATGAGGAAGGGTCTCACCACTAGCCAAACAAAGGATACAAACATGAAGAGATAGGCACTTGGCATTATTCTTTCCCCTTCAAACCATGGGCTTTTCTAGGTTGCTGAGAGGGTGAGAGGGGGAGAGGGGGAGGAGCTGAGATGGGAGAGGAACTGTGTTTTCATCTGGTGCCATTGTCTGAGATGGTGAGAGGGTGAGAGGGTGAAGCAAAGAGAAGGTTGCTGAGAGGGTGAGAGGGAGAGGAACTGTGTTTTCATCTGGTGCCATTGTCTGAGTTGGTGAGAGGGTGAGGAGCTGAGATGGGAGAATTCGTGGAGGT